CCCGGCGCCCGGCAGCGCGGGCACGGGGCATCCGCCCAGCAGGCGAGCGGGAAGCGCCCCGCAACCCCCGGGCAGAGCAGGGCAGGGGGCGGCTTACCTGCGGGCAGCACAGCACAGCCCCGCGCCGGTGCCGGTGCCAGCGCGCAAGTGCCTGCCTGGCAGGGGAGCAGCGTGGCTAGCCAGGTAGGGCTTGGCTTCGTGGCTTGTGGTGACCCACCTGCTTCTTTCTAAACTCCTCCTTGTGCAGGTGTTAGTCACAGAGGTCATCTAGGCCAGTGGGTCTCAACCTTTGTTTTTTTCACCAGGACCCATTTGTCAACAGCGATGGGGAGCATAGATTCATAAATGTAGGGTCGGAAGGGACCTCAGTAGGTCATCGAGTCTGACCCCCTGCCCCGGGCAGGAAAGAGCACTGCAGTCAAACGACCCCAGCCAGGTGCTTGTCCAGTCCATGTTGGTAATGGCAAAGGAACAGGGTGGAGAAACATTCAAGAGAAGGGCTGGGGTGAAGAGGGTTTGGGAGCAAAATCTGGGGAGGGCAGCACATGGTGGTGGCAGCTGCCTACCCCACCCCTTGCCATAGCACTGATTGCTAATGTTCAGGGCTGCAGGGGGCCCCTTGGCTGCGAGGCCCCCACAGCCACAGGTTCTGCAGGATAGGGTGGGCCGGCCCTGATAAGAAGTCTTGGCCCAGTACCCCTTACATCCAACCTGCTGCTCCAGTCCCTTGAGGGGGGCTGAATCAGGGCAACCGCCCTGAGCCCCACGCTTTGGGGGGCCTTGCGGAGCCGGGCGGAGCGGCCACATCCAGCCGCTCACTACCCGTCTCCCCACCCTGCCGCTGCTGCCACTGCTGCTGTTGCTGGCCATGGCAGCCTTTTTTGGATCCGGGACATACGGGATTGGGGCGGGGCCTCACGTGGGCTGATTTGCCCCAGCCCCGCACCCTGCTTGGGTCAGCTCTGTCCTGTATGGGGCAGGGGCAGGGCTGGTCCAAGGGTAATTGGTACCCTAGGCAAACTGTGTACCTTGACGCCCCCACCACTTCCAATATAGAGGAAAATAAGAAGTCTAGAATTAACATTTACATGTACTTATTTGGTATTCAGAATGAACAATAAAACAATAAAAACAAAAATTTCTTATTGATTGTTTGGAGGCAATCAGGACTCGTAGTAGAGATGATATCTTTTATTAGACCAACAAGATTATTGCAAAAAAAAAAAAAAGTCTTTAATTGCAAGCTTTTGGGCACAAATACCCTTCATCAGGCATTGGAGAAAAGATTATAAAAGTTCTCCTGGGTAGAAATGAAAGTTCATATTTTATAGGATTTCACAGAGGATAGAAAACGCCTCTGGGCAGTCAGTTCATAGCTGGTATGGAGCCTCTCACCTTCTGTGAGGATCTGTGATGATGCAAATTACTTGGAAACAAAGGCAGGAGCAGGGTCTTGATTGTTATTATTGATTGTTTATTATTTATTGTTTTATTGTTCATTACCATTGTTTATTGTTTATTATTTATTGATGGTTTATTATTGTATTATTATTGTATAATTGTTTATTATGTTTTGATTGCTTATTATTGATATAAGATATATCTTGATTATTGATTGTTTCACACCTGTTATTATACCTAACACAATTATATCAGACGGCCAGGGCTGTTATTTAGAAAGATGTTCCTGTTATTTTGTTCTGCATATAATTTTGGCGTCCCCCAAATTTTGGCACCTTAGGCGACCACCTAGTTTGCCTAATGGTTGGACCGGCCTTGGGCAGAGGGTGTGTGTGTGGGGCATGGGGGTCCCCAAGCAGCCCCTCACAGGCTGGGACTCTGCCAGCCTGCAAGGGAAAAGCCGCAGTTTTCCACATTTTTCCTGTAAAAGAGAATTCATTTTTAAAGTTTACTGATTCAGTTTTAAAGTTTCTTTGTGACCCTTTCAAATTTTCCTGTGACCCACTTTGGATTGTGACCCTCAGGTTGAGAAACGCTGATCTATGGCAACCCCCCTGCCTGAGGTAGGGTCATCCCTATCCAAATCATCCTGAATGCTCCAATATCTAAACTCTACACAAGATGCTCGCAACCCTGACACAACAAGAGGTAACACCCAAACTTGCCACAGGTAAAGCAGGAAAACTGCGGCAGCCAATGTCTTGATTATATAAAATGTTGATTCAATGTAATTCCAGGGTAGAGGGCCACACCGCCTGCTACAGAGGAAGGCAACCCCCCCACAGTCCCAATCTGACTACAGGGAAAAATTCTTTCCTGATTGCAAATATGGTGAATGGTCTGACTCTGAGCATAGGGGCAAGACCCTCTAGCCCGGAACCTCTGGCTTTGCTCTCAGCAGGAGCATTGGCACACCCCAATCAAAGGCCCCAGCCTTGGCCATAGCCAACACACAATGCTTCTGGGAAGGCTTAAAAACACCCTGACATAAATAGCAGAAGGGGAGGTGCACAGGGGCAACCCTCCAAGCCCAGAAGCATGGAAAATGCCTATGGTAGAACATAGGTCTAGCTATATGTAGATCATCCCTGACCAGTGGCTGTCCAACCTCTTTTTTGAACATCTCCAGTGATGGAGAGTCCACAACTTTTTTAGGCAGTCTGTTCCACTGTGTTGCTATTCTAACAGTGAAGAAATTTTTCCACATATCCAATCTAAACTTGCTTTGCTGACACTTCAAGCCATTAGTTCATGTCCTCCTCTCTGCAGTGAGAGAAAAGGTGCTTTCTCTCTTCTTTATGGCTGCCCTTCAAGGATTCGGAGACTGCTATCATTTCCCCTCTTAAGTGCCTGAAGTGTTCATGGCCCTCTCTTCTTTCTAATGGTCTTGATGTTCTACCAGTCAAGCTCTCCTTTCTTCTGCAAGTCTGCTGTCTGTTAGCTGCTCCTGGGGAATGAAGCTGCTATTTTACAGCCCTGCAGATTGTTTTTGACTCATTTCAATGATGTTATATTTGTTTTTTTGCTTCCATTTTAAATGAAATGGTTTAGCCCTAGGCCCCTAATGTATTAGGAAAACTTCTAGTTTCTTTTTAATTGGAGAAAACTGTGTTGATTCACCTCACCATCTGCACCCATCCCCTTTTCAAAATTCCAGATCAGCCCATGGGGTAGTCCCACTGGCTATATTGGAACAGCGGGCACGATGTGGGTTTGCGTGTGCTTGTTTTCAGGATCAAAACTAGCATGTGTAAGGTACTTACAGGGTAAATACTTGTAGGATTTGGCTCGACAAAAGGCAGGAGTGAATAGGAAGTACAGAAAATGGCCAAGGGCATGGACAACTGGAAGGCCTTCAATGGTGAGGGAGGTAGGTATTCAAAAGTTGTTAACAAACCCCTCCTCCTCACACAAAGCTTCTCTCCTCTAGTTCTTTCAGCCAGTTCTTCCAGCCTTCCTTTGTAAGTCATGTTTCCCAGGCCTCTAACCATGTTAGTTTTTTCCCCCTGGACTCT